TAGGGAGCCACTGGAGTTTGTTGAACAGGGGGTGGTGTGGTCAGCCCTCCACTTTTGGAAAGGAATCCAGTATTTGTGGATGTTAGGGTGAAATGGGAAGAGGCGCAGAGACCAAAAAGACTCCAGGCCAAAATTGGTGAGGGCCTGAACTAGGGCATTAGTGGAGAGGAGGGGATGTTTGTAAGAGATATTGCAGAGATAAAAAAAGATAAGATTTAACACCTGATTGATTATGTGAGATAAGTAAGAGTGAAAAGTCTAGGAATACACCAAGGTTTCAAATCAGGGAGACTTAAGAGGATGGTGGTGCCCTTAACAAAGTGGAGTGTCTTGTTTGAGGAACAGCAAGACCAGTGTTGCTGGATCATTAAGTATGTGGAGAAGAGCAAGTTATAAGCAGACTGGAGAGGTAGGAGGGGACCAAGTTGTGAAGGGTTTTGAATGCCAAAAAGAATTTATGTTTGATTTTGGAGGTGATAGGGAACTACTGGAGTTTATTGAATAAGGAGATAACATAGGAAAATCTGGCACTTTAGGGAGAAAAATTTGACAGTTTTGGAAAGTGGGATTGTAGTGGTAAGAGAACTTAAGGCAGGGAGATCAATCAGTCAAGGCTGTTGCAATTGTCTTGGTGTCACGTGATGAGCCCCGCACCAAGGTAGTGGTGGCATCAAAGGAGAGAAGGTGGAGTACTGGAGAGATATAAAGGTAACATTGGCTAAGGCTTGGCAACAGATTGGTTATGGGAAATGAGAGAAAATGAGGAGCTGAGGATGGCAGCCTGAGTCCTTGGGAGGATTATGGTGCCCTCAACAGTAATAATGAAGTTAAGAAGAGGGAAAGATTTGGGGGGAAAGATGAGTTAAGTTGTTGAGTGTAAGATGTCTACTGTAAGATGTCTAGTTTGAAATAAGCAATTGGAGATGCAAGGTTTAGGGTTAGGCCTAGATAAGTAGACCCAAGAATAAATCATCAGCATAGAGTTTATAACTGAATTCATGGGAGCTGATAAGATAGTAAATATCTATTTTTAATAATATAGTGAAATAGTGGCAGCTAGGTGGCACAGTGGATAGAGCACCGGCCCTGGAGTCAGGAGGACCTGAGTTCAAATGCGGCCTCAGACGAATAATACCTCCTAGCTCTATGACTCTGGGCAAAGTCACTTAACCCCAGTTGCCTATTTTTAAAAAAATGTATCTATGTGTGTGTGTGTGTGTGTGTGTGTGTGTGTGTGTGTGTGTGTGTGTATATATATACAGATAGATAGATAGATAGATAGATAGATAGATAGATAGATAGATAGATAGATAGATCGTGAAATAGTATTCTATAGAAGGCAAAGAAAAGATAGCCCAGGACAGAGCCCTGGGTGACATCCATCTTTAAGCAAGTGTGACCTGGATAAACATTCAGCAGAAGAGACTGAGGAGTAGTCAAACAGGTAGGAGGAGAACTAGGATAGAGTAGTGTTAAGGAGATCTAGAGAGCAGAAGGTATGAAGGAGAAGAGGGTAATCAGCAATGTCAGGGGCTGCAGAGAGGTCAAGAAGGATGAGGATTGAGAAAAGGCTCTTAGATTTGGATGTTAAGAGGTCATTGATAACTTCAGAGAGATTGTTTTGGTTGAATGATAGTATTAGAAGCCAGACTGTAGTGATTAAGGAAGAGAGAGGAATGAAAGGAAGTGGATCCACCTATTATAGATAGCCTTCTCAAGGAGATTAGCTGCAAAAGGGAGGATAGATATGGGACTATAGCTAATGAGGATAGCTGGATCAGGTATTTTTTTGAGGATAGGGAAAACATGGACATTTTTGTAGGTAGTAGGGAAGCAGCCAGTAAACAGGGAGAAATTGAAGAGTGAGAGAGTTGGGAGGATAGAGAGGGTAGTCTTTTGGAGAACAGATGGAATAGGAAAACTTGTGCATGTAGAGGGTAGGAGAAAGGCTACTTCTTCATGTGAGACAAGAATGAAGGAGGACAGGGGTAAAAAACATCTGGGTTATGTGAGATGAAGAAGGAATTCTCTGTGAATGGTATCGGGTTTTTTCAGTGAAATATGAGGCAAGGTTCTTAGCTGAGAAGGTGGAGTGAGGAGGGGGAGCCATGGTGGTTTGAGGAGGGATGAAAGAGTTTGGAAGCACCACTGTGGTGAATGGGATAATGAGTTAATTAGGGAACTATAAAAGGATTGCAAGAGAGGGCCCAGCTGAAACTATGTAACATAAATTTGTAGTGGACCAAGTGAGCACAGTTTCCTGATTTTCTTCAACTTCATTCAGCAGTATAGAGTTTGAAGCAAAGGCAGCAGATGGGAGTCATCCAAGGCAGTGGCTTGCAGGGCAAGATCAGTGATACAATAAAGGGGCAAGGGACTTGAAAGAAGTGGACAGTATAGAGTTGTTGAACTAGTTCACTATGGGGTCAAGATGGGGAAGGGAGGAGAATAGTAGTGCAGGGGTGATGTGATGGCTTTGGAAAGAATTGAGGGGTCAGGGGATTGGAGATGAGAGAGAGTGAAGATTAGAAAGAGAGAAGAAGGTAGGGGCAATCTGCTGGGTGAGGCAGCAGGGAATGGGATCAAGGGTGGAAGTAGAGAGCCTAATATGGCTGGATCAAAGAGTATAGGGACTGAACAACAACAACAAAAGGAACATCTAGTTTGAGATTCCCCCCAGCTATAAATCTTATGATCCTATTAACCTACAACATCAAGTTGTTGGGTATAAAAGTTTGTGGCAAATTGTGCCTCCTGGCCCTATTAGTTTGATAGTGTGCTTAGAATTTAAAATATTAAGTGTAAGTTCACTACATTAGGACTTCAGAACCTTCTTATTAAAGAGTGTTACTTGTTAGCAACTTTAAGGGGAAAAAAAATCTTTGTATCTAATTTTCACTCTGAAAGGAAAGTGGTAATGTAAGCAATAAAGAAGAGAATTGTGACTTTCCTTTCTCATTTTTACCGAAAAATGGAATACCTCCACTAGGTGTAAATGGTAGTGTTTGTTTTTTTGCTAAGGGTGCCATTCTCCTGAGAAGACAGGGAAAGGTGAGTTTTCATTTCATAACCTGCTTCCAGTGTGTCTCTCTATCCCATCTGCGTGACATTGGACTCTAGATTCATCTTCTTAACACCCAACTTTCAGCATGTTGCTCCTCTACTCAGAAACCCTCAATGAGTCTCCATTGCCTCCTGAATTATGGGTAAACTACTGATCAAGGTATTTCACCCAGTGCGGTATCATGAAAAAAATACTAGACTTGGAGTCAGGAGATCTGGGTTTGAGCCCTTGTGCTAAAGTTTTACCTGAATGAGTTTCTTTTCTTGTTTGAACCTATTTCCTTAATTGTGAAATGGAAATAAGAATCCTTATACTACATAATTCACAGCATTGTTATTAAGAAAGTACTTTGGAATTTTAAAAACTGTGTGAATGTGAGCTACAGTTAATTTTAATAATAGTATGATTGTTAATATCACTTAAAATGGTATAGTGGAAAGAGTGTGAAATTTAAATTCAGAAGTCCTAGATTTCAGTCCTCATCTCAACCTCTAGAAACAGTATATCTATAATATATATATATATACATATATATATAATATTATATATATCTATTTTATATAGATATATATAGCATTAGTCAACATAAGTTTCTTTGAGACTTAACTTCCCCATATCTAAAATAGGAACAATCACACTTGTCCTACCTACTTTGAAGAGTTATTATAGTTCATTGTATCCATGTTTTATTTACCACACTATTGTTCCTACTTCTCTGTAAGTTCCTGGAAAATATGGTTCCTATTATATGTTCAGTAATTATTTGAAGGAATAAGTTTTCTCTTTTACTTCAGCTTTAGTTTTTGGGGATAGGCTAATAGGAAAGATAGTACTACGGTGAAACTTTTCTTAATGGTCCTGAAAAAAACTAAATCTAAACAGAAATTTAGTTGAAGTATGTTCAACCTGAATGGCTCCACTTAAACGTGACGTTTTCAAAAATGGATTTTACAAATTCTCAGAAGTAGAACAGACCCTAAAGATCATCTAGTTTAAACTCTGTCTGAGAGGGTGTCCCCTGTATAGCATCCCTGACAGATGATCATACAGCTGCTTCTTACAGACTTTCAGTGATAAGAAGCTCACCACCTCCAAAGGCAGCCCTTTCTACCTTTTAAAAACTTTTTTTATTGCAAAGTTTTTCCTATTATCAGGGTAAAGCCTACTGCTGCAGTTTTCACGCATTGTTCATAGTTCATTCCTTTAACAAATATTTATTTGTTGATCTCAGGCAAATCATTTAACCCCCCAAGTCTGATTTTCCTTACCTGTAAAATGAGGGGAATGGACCAGATGATCTCATATTCTTTTCAGCTCAAGATCTATTATCCTATAATCTACTATGTCCTGAATCTGTCTTTTGGGGCCAATTAGAACAAATTTAATTCTTGTTTAGCAGGAGTGTCCTTCATCATGTCCTCTCTAAGTCTTTTCTTCTCTACGCTAAATATTCCCAAGCACTTCACTGATCTTCTGGCATAGTCTGCAGTATTGTCACTATCCTGTCACCATACTCAAGCTTCTGAATTTGCTTCCTAAAATGTATTACTCAGAACTGAGTATGGTGCTCTAGATGTGTTTTGATCAGAGAGTATAGTAGTACTATTACCACCTTTGTTTTGGAAACTGCCTCTGGACTGGAATATAGCCTGCAGTCTTGTTAATTTTTTGACTGTCATAACCTTCTGTTGATTCATTGTGCTTAATGTACAAGATGATGTTGAATAGCAGCATTTTACATGAAGAATGCCAGTTAAATGAAGATGGTGGTTGTGCCATTTTATTTTAAAAATCTGGTGTGGTTAATCTGGAATTAAAACAGTGGGAAAGTTGGAACCATCAGAATTTTATCAATGGGTATAGACTGGGGAGAGCTACTAAGGAGAACTAAAAGTTTAAACAAGTGCTTGTGTGATTTTTTTTTCTTGTTGAACAGGCCAAAGGCCAATGATGCTGCTAGTGCCGAAGTGGAGAGAATGGGGAAAAGGATGTGATTTGAGGAAGGCAGAAGAAGGAAAGTGGCAAGGGAGGAGAGAAGGTAAACAGCCATTTGAGGTAAATGAAGGAGAAGAGGGAAACTGAGGGGGGAGGCAAGAGAAGTCAGTATTATATAAAACAATATAGGCAGATTTACTAGGAATTTTGCCCACCATTCTCATGTTGTAATAAAATCTTATTACTTTGACTAAAAACAAAACAAAACAAAAAGCTATGTAATGTACCTGGTGCTATTTTCGGGGAGGGGGACAACAGACTTTCTTGGGCAGTGAGGTGTGGATCAACTGGACACATTAAGCAAAGCCCTATTTATTCACTAATGGATGGATCCTCACCATATTTGAAGCTATTGAAATCAAGGTGGGAGCTGTCTTATCACAAGTAAATCCTCTGTCTTTATATGCACTGATGAGACCTGTTATAGCATTCACAGCCATATTACCAAAGGCTATGGCAACTGCTGTCTTGAAGTCTTAACATGGCTTCACATCTACCCCGTGCTGAATCATCACTTTCCCCGTCCCTGGCCATAGATCCATAGAATGCATGAGCCACATAAATTATTATTATCAGTAAAATAGAGGTACAGTACTGAGGAGGTGGAAGAAAATAGCAACAGAAGAGATTAAAGCTGTATTTTCCTGTAAATGATAATATTTCATATATATAATATGTATATATATACATGCATATATACACACATGGGTACATGCATGCATGTATGTATATGGCTTTCAAAATAGAAAGCAAAAGAATTAAAAGTAAAGTTGTGTTAAACTAAAGAAAGATCAGTGATAATGAGTGTGCACATTTGTGTACATTTTGAAGTGATCAAGAAGAGAAATGTAAATTATGCAAGAGTATGGTTATAAGCACAGACCTAGCAGGGGTCATAGAAATCATACAGTCCTATTTGTGTTATGATGTCAAGATTGAGAAAGGACATTTGATCAAGTTCTTGCTAATTTGGATTGAAAGAAAGCATTGGAATGCCTACATGCTCTCAGTATCTCCCAAACAGACCATCCAGACATAGCTACAAATTTTTAGGAGCAGTACGCTTGACAGAACTATGTACTACTCTCTATCTCAGGGTTGTTGTGAAGAAAGCAGTTTGTAAATTTGTAAACCTTAAAGCACTATCAAAATAACAAGTTACTATTTGGTGGTACTGTTACTGCCCTTACTGAATTTTCAGAAGGATGGCTTTCACATTTTGAAGTTCATCATGGCATTATAAAACAGAAAGACTATTGGACTTGGAGGCAGAAGACCTGCCTTTGAGCTTAGACATTGCCACTTCCTAGCTGCAGTCTTGTAAGGTTAAGTCACTTAAACTTTCTGAGCCTCGGTTTTACTTTCCATAATATATGGATGATATTATTCGTCCTAATTCACAGGAATTTAGTAAGCTGTAAACAACAGTATAGATGTGAATGATAGTAATTTGTTATTACTATTATTGATAACCAGCCTCCTCGCTTCCCTCACAAGCAATGGAGCTAAAATGCAACAAACTAATTTTGTTAATTACCATAGCCGATATCGTCTAGCCCCTGAACAGTTTGGTCACAGACAGTGTTGGCTATTGTAACCATACCCTTTCCTGGTAGGTTTTAGTGACTCAGTGCTAGTTAAGCACAGTTTAGGAAGATAAGCTTATGGGGTCTAATGATTTGGTTGCTCATGAAATTAAAATTCCAGTGAGTTGGAGAATATAAATTTCCTTGGAACTTTCAAAAGTTAGACTTGTTGCTTAAAAAGTATAAGGATGGACATGAGTATTTTTTTCCCTCTAATTTGTGTCATTCTGTCTTTGTATCTGCAGGGAAAGAATGTTTTAGAAGCATAAGTTTACTTGAGGATAGCAGACAATTCTCCAGCTCATCTTCATGAAGCTGAGTTAGCATCAGGTAATGTATTAATCATTTTCTTTATTTCTGTCATGACATGGCGTTGTCTTATAATTTGGGGATCTTGTAACTGTTCTCAAGAGTAGTTTGTAGGATGGCGGCCTGTAGCCTTGTCTTTCTTGGATAGTTCTGTCTTTATTGGATAGTCAGCACAGCCTTGTACCCTTTGGTATGGGAAATAGTTTGACTCCTCAGTGATAAGATAACTGGTATAGGAGCAGATAGTTCACATTAACCTCAGGTTAAGCTTTGACTTGGGTACTGTAGCACAGGACTCCAGGGAAGCAAACCCTGTTCTCAAAACAGGTTCTCATTCTCAAAACCATTCAGGAGAAGAGAACCTGGGCTTTATGGAGACAACCTCTGGACTCCATTTGCAAAGCACCTTTCTCACAACAACCCTGTGAACTAGGAAATATTAACAGCTACTCAGGTTTCTGTAGTGCTTTCTTTTACAAAGTTCTTTCCCCATAAACAATCCTATAAAGAAGGTATTGTTAAATATAATTACCTCCATTTTATGATGTAGAAAACTGAGACTGAGGGGAAGTAATTTGCCGTGATCCTGTAGCTTATAAATAGTAGAGCTGAGACTCTGAGGGCCCTTTCAGTAATGAAATTTATGTGGCTATTTCATTCTGTCTTTGAATGAGAGTCTCTTTTTGTCTGATCAAAGAGGCATAAATTTGGTCGTTAAAGTTAAAGGGAAACATCTGCTAAATTTAGATATGGAAAGGTTGGTGTGAAACTAGAGACATTGGCCATCTGGGACATTCTCATTTTAGTCCAAAGGAGTTGCATAGGTGACATTTCCATAGGGTTCAGGACCAAAGCATAGAATAGCTTAAGTATAAACTAATATAAAGAATACCAGATGTCTATATGTATTGATAGGGCCAGATTTCAAACATCAGCTGCTATTTACCACCTGTATGACCTTGGGCAACTCACTTGCCTTCTTTAGACTTCATTGGAAAAATAATAGGGTTAGACTAAATTATTTATAAAGTCCCTTCCAGATGACTGCCAGCCAGGGTGGCTGCCTGAATAGAGACAGACTGCTCAGCTCCCACATACTACCACATACTACTACAGCAAAAACTGGAAATTCACACTGGACCAAATAATGATTGAGAAATCCAATGAGAAACTGTAATAACTTTTTTCATCTCAGAAATGTATACCAAAAAAAAAAAATCCCAGCAAAAATGGACCAAAAAAACCCCCCCAGAAATGTACAGAAATGTCAGCCAAAACACTGTGGTCAGTAGAAAAGGGAACCACCAGTACTGGCCAGAGCCAATACTGGCAAACAAGTCACTATTATCCCAGTAAAACCAAAGAAATATGGTCTGCAAGGCTCTGTGTCCAGAGACAACAAGAAGGAAAAGCTCCCCTGCTGTGATGCCTGAGGATTGGGCTAATTTCCATCTGAACAAGCACAGAGCAACTTCTACCTTCTGCTAGCTGAATGTCCCAGCTTTGATGCAGAGAACCCCCCAGTGGAGAGATTCACAACCTTCCTTTAACATAAGGCCTTCCCTCTCCTGCTGCACCTGGTCTTTGAAGGAAGACAGAGAGGAAAGTCAGTGGGGATTGGGACTTTCTTTTCCCGCTTCACCCTTTTTTTGCCCAATCAACAGCCTTTAGAAGGAAGAGGAATAGTGAAATGTAGCTTTCCATCTGATGGTATGTCTTTTATCTAATACTGTACTTGTCTCCAGCCCAATCTGCAGCCTCCTTTGGGAAGAGGAGGGGTGTTTTTGACTTAATGATGAACATTCTCACACCTAGTCATATCCCACGTATCCCAATGGTTCTGAACTCCCATAGATGATCATCTTCTAAACTCTATTCCGTATTTCCCATTCCCCACCTCTCAATTCCTTATTCTCATCACCTTCTACCTTCCCACTCTAAAGTTTAAAAAAAAAATCTCTTTCCACTCTGCCTTCTAGAATGCCTGTTCCGTAGGTAACAAACTTCTTTGTTCAAAATCTTTTCTTTCCCACTACTTTCTACTACTCCCACTACTCCCACTACTAGCAGTTATTGAAACCTAGCTCCCTCATAAACACAACTTCCCTGGCCACCCTTTCTGTTTCTGGCTACACACCTTCCCTCATTCCCTTCAGCTGACTAGCCAAAGCCAGAAAGTTGTACTCCTTGAGCTCCCTATTGCCACTTTCATCTCTGCCTTCATCATTAAGTAACTTATCCTCCTTTGAAGTGCATGCTATTAGTCTCTTCCACCCAAAAATCCTGGTTAACTATTGTCTACAGACCTCCAACTCACTCTCGTTTCTTCCTCAATGACTTCAGTATGTGGTTCACAATTTTCTGTCCTCCTTGACTCCTGCCCTCATACTGAGGAACTTCAGTATATATATTGACTCTCCTCAAATACCTTAACCACTCACTTCCTCAACCTATTCATTTCCCATGACCTCTGCCTCCCCTTAACTACACAAAAAAATGGTCATCCTCTTGCTCTTAACATCACCCACAATTACCTCCGTGTTCCAGAATTCTGAAATCCCCTTATCTGACCTAACATTATCTGACACTTACTGGCTTTCCACCTCTCCCTCTGCCTTTCCTTGCAGAAAGCCTATTCTTCATCCATAATGTGATGTCCAGTCCCTTGACCCTTCTCTCTAAGGCCATCTCCCCTGCACTAGCCATTCTCTCCTCTTTTCTCCATCTTGACCCCATGTTGAACTAATTCAACTTTACACTGTTCTGTCTTGAATCCGTCCTTCTCCCGCAGCATCATTTCGCCACTTATACCCTCCCATGCCAGATCACTCCCATCCCCTCTCCTATACGTGTTCTGTTGAATGAACAAGGAGAAAATAATGCAGCTGTTCTGAGTGGGTACAATACAAATTTATATTACATAACCTCAAATGGCCCCTCACTGTTACCAGGCAATCCTGTTATTCCTCTCTTCTTACTTCAGTATCCCACTCTCCACCATAGCTCTTCCAGACCTTTTTCATTCCTCCTGAAGCTATCTGTGTCTCTTCTCCCCAACCCTCTCAGTTAAGAACCTTGCCTCATTTCAAAGAAAAAAATTGAGGCCATTCATTATAAACTCCCTTTTTCCCATCTCACATAACTTTTATGCCATCTGCCACTGTCTCTTTTCATCGTTGTCTCTCATGATGAGATGGCGTTATTCTTTACCAAGGCTAACTTCTCTACCTGACAGTTTCACCTTTGCCACACCTCTTGAATATGACCCCTTCTCTTCTCTGACACTGTCACCACTCTGTTGCAGGCCCTCCTCACCTCACACCTAGATCGTTGCAATAGCCTGCTGGTCGGGCTGCCTCCCTCAAGTCTCTCCCTACTCCATTCCATCCTTCATTCAGCCACCAGAGTTATTTTCCTGAGTCGCAGGTCTGACCATTTGCTTCCTACTAAATAAATTCCTGTGACTCCCTGTTATCTCCCGGATCAAATACAAAATCCACTTTTTGGCATCCAAAGCCCATCATAAACAACACATTACTCCCTGCTACGTACTCTTTACTCCAGTGACTTTGAATGAACACACAGAAACAACACAGTTAGGTGTTAACTATATCAGACTCAGCAGAGAAATAGAGAGTTGAGGGAAGGTAATACCAGTGAGGGAATAGTTGGAACTGGAACAAACTTCCTGATCTGGAAAGGAGGATTAAAAGGAAAAAATAAAAGCAAAGAATTTGAACCTAAAGAAGAAGGAAGGCACACTCGTGAATTAAAGAATGGCTGCTGAATAGTAGTCTATGAATAATAGAATATTATTGTGCCAGAAGAAATGACCAAATAAAGATGATTTCAGAGAATCCTGTCTAGTGTGAATTCATACTTCACATGAAGTATACAGAGGCAGGAAAACAATTCATGCAGTAAAAACAACATTGTATAGGAAAACAACTTTAAAGACACTATGATTAGTGCAATGACCATCCCTCCAGAGGACTTAATGATGAAGCATATTACCCATTTTCTGACAAAGAGGTGGTGGACTTAAGGTGTGGACAGACACATACCTTTTTGGACATGACTATTATGTAGATTTGATTTACTCATTTATATTTATTTGCTATATGGTTTACTTTTTCCTCTTCTTTTGATTTTCAGTGGGGTTAGAGGTCAGGGCACAGGGAATGTTAGCAATAGTGATGCCACGAAAAAGAGGGCCATTGAAACACTTTTTAAAATATAGAGAAGAAAGCACAAATAAACAGAACAGTTTTGAAAATGTGTGTGAGATACACACACACACACACACACACACACACACACACGTATATAAAACCAAGCAGTATGAAATAGTCACGGGGGCAGAGCCAAGACGGTGGAGTAGAAGCAGTGACTTTGCTTGAGCTCTCTCTCAGACCCCTCCAGATACCTGTAAAAAATGGCTCTAAACAAATTCTAGAGCAGCAGAACCCATAAAAAGACAGAGTGAAACAAATTTCCAGAAATAGTCACAATTTATGTTTTGCATGTATAGAAGTGCTCATTTTTTGATGTTTTAAGTTTAGAGTTTTTAAAACTTAAAAAAGTTAAATGAAGTCACTTATAGTTCTAAATCTTAGTCTTCCCTCTTTTTCCCTCCCTATTCCTCTTTCTCTCTCTCTTTCTAGATTACGCTTCATGTCAGTAGAAATGGACAGCAGCAGTTTTATTCAGTTTGACGTGCCCGAGTACAGCAACACAGTTCTGAGCCAGTTAAATGAACTCCGCCTTCAAGGAAAACTGTGTGACATCATTGTGCATATTCAGGGGCAGCCATTCCGAGCCCACAAAGCCGTCCTTGCTGCCAGTTCTCCCTATTTTCGTGACCATTCAGCATTAAGTACCATGAGTGGCTTATCTATCTCAGTGATTAAGAATCCTAATGTCTTTGAACAGTTGCTCTCATTCTGTTACACTGGAAGAATGTCCTTACAACTGAAGGATGTTGTCAGTTTTCTCACTGCTGCTAGCTTTCTTCAGATGCAATGTGTCATTGATAAGTGCACACAGATCCTGGAGAGCATCCATTCAAAAATCAGCATTGGGGATGTCGACTCTGTTACCATTGGTGCTGATGAAAACTCAGAAAACCGCAATGGAGTTAAAGAGAGCAGCTTCTTTGCCAACCCAGTAGAGATCTCGCCTCCATATTGCTCTCAGGTGCGTCAGCCAACCGCTGGCAATGATCTACGGATGGAGGCAACTCCAAGCAAATCTCTGCGTGGCCGCTTGCAAGAAGAAGGCCACTCAGACCGAGGAAGCAGTGGGAGTGTCTCTGAGTATGAGATTCAGATAGAAGGTGACCATGAACAAGGGGACTTGATTGTGAGGGAGAGCCAAATCACAGAGGTGAAAGTGAAAATTGAGAAATCAGACCGACCCAGCTGTTCAGACAGTTCTTCATTGGGTGATGATGGCTACCACACTGAAATGGTAGATGGTGAACAAGTGGTGGCAGTGAATGTAGGCTCCTATGGTTCTGTGTTACAGCATGCATACTCCTTTTCCCAAGTAGCCTCTCAGCCATCAAGTATATCAGAAACTTTTGGGAACCTGAGCAACTCCAGCCCATCCAGGTCTATGCTAAGTTGCTTCCGAGGGGGCCGGGCCCGCCAAAAGCGCCCCTCCTCTGTCCATCTGCACAGTGATCTGCAGAGTTTGGTACAAGTATCAGATGGTGAAGCTCTTGTGAATAATCCTGGGTATGAGAATAGCCCTCGGGAGAGGAGTGCACGAGGCCACTGGTATCCATACAACGAAAGATTGATCTGCATTTACTGTGGAAAATCCTTTAACCAGAAGGGGAGCCTTGACCGGCATATGCGACTCCATATGGGGATCACCCCTTTCGTATGCAAGTTCTGTGGTAAGAAGTACACACGAAAGGACCAGTTGGAGTACCACATCCGTGGCCATACTGACGATAAGCCTTTCCGCTGTGAGATCTGTGGGAAGTGCTTTCCCTTCCAGGGAACACTCAACCAGCACCTGCGGAAAAATCACCCAGGTGTGGCTGAAGTCCGCAGTCGCATTGAGTCCCCAGAAAGAACAGATGCATATGTAGAACAGAAAATTGAAAATGACGCCTCCAACTCAGAGGCAGGGCTGGATTCCAGTATGGAAGTTCACACAGTGTCTAATGCCCCTGACTAAGATTTAAATAAGTGCAACCCAAAAAAAGCACACTCATCAATGCATTCAAAACATTTTTGCTATAGGTAACTCTTAGCCCAGTTACTGACCTGACCACCTTGAAACCTAGTAGGTGCACAGTAAATTTTCCCAAGGTTTCTAAATAGCACACTTTGCCATTTTTGTTCTTTGCTTCCAAGGAGACTTGGATATATGTGTGTTGAAAGAGCTTAGAATCCGAAGGGCCGAAAATACAGGGAAAACATGGGCTGATGCTGTTCCTCTGGATGAATTATTTCAATCCCAATTCTGGCAGTAGCATAGCTAAGCCAGCTGGGTTCACCCTTCCTTTACTACCCAGGGGCACATATTCTCTCTCTGTGTGCATGTAGGTTTTTATGCATGTGCATGGAGAGAGAATAGCATGTCCAGATGATCTGATGATTACCTTTTAGAGTTGAAAATTACTTTTTTTGGTAGTTAGAAAATTTATACATATATATATATATATAATATATATATATAATAAAGCATTTATTATATATATTACATATATACATTCTTAAATTTGCTTTTATTCTGGTTGAGGTGAATGTAAGAGGAATATGTAAGTTAATATAGTGTGTACAGGGCTTTTTGACTCTTAATCTCATCTCTACCTAATATATTTTAAGACCTTGCTCCTTTATCCCTTGAAGAATGTTGTTTGGTTTTCTTATATATTAATCATAGCGTCCAAAAGTCAGCAAAGCAAATGATACTGTTTTTTATAACTCCACTTCATAACAAACACATAAACCAAATGCCATAAATCTATTCAACTCTAGTTAGAATTGTTTGGAATTTTTGTTAGTTGTCCAGTTGGTAAGCTGGATGACATGTGGTGCTGCCCTTTTTTACACAGCTGTAATGTAATTATCCAACCCTAAAGTAACAGTGGTTTTAAATGTTTTTACTGGCCTAAGAATCTACCTTCATTTCGTACTGTAGAAACCTAAATACCAGGTAACTAAATCAAATCACTCTACAAGATGAGTCGCTACTCTCACTAAAGGAAGAGGGGGTTGTAACTCTGACTATATCTCCACACAGTGTTGATATATATATTTTTGTTGTTGTTTTCTCCAGACAGCCAGTTCAGGTGCATAGTAACTTTCTATATTGCGGTTCCTTGTGAAACTGCGAAACTTGGAAATTTGTACTTTTTGTAAAGATATATTCTATGGGAATCGCAAGCAATATGTCTATCTTGTGTGCTACACAAAGCCACAGTGGCTTCCCCATTCTTTCAGTGGCTAATCAGTGTTTCCTGCTTAAAGAAATCAACCATAAGAAACCCTCTTTAAGATATTTTGTGTGTGTCACCAAATATTTGTGTGTCACCCATTTTCGTTTTATGTGGTGCTACTTTTATGTTGAATATCAGTTAGGTCAGTATAATATAAAAAAATGTGAAACCTAATGGTGATAGTGAATTACAAGCAACAGGTTTTCGTTTTTGTTTTCGTTTTTGTTTTTCCTCTCTCTTTTTAGTTTGCTTGAAAAAGAGACCTCAAAATCTTGTGCTGGCAAACACATTACTGTATAAGAACAGATGTGATCCCTATTTGGAGATTTTTTTATTCATTAGGAAATGTTTTTAGTTCTCTACCGAGTGCTCATGTGTGCTTATAGTGTACCAAAAGATGCTCTACACAAAAAAGTTGATTTGGTTTGGTACTGTATATTCTGGTCAATCAAGAGTGAGTCATAAGTCATGAGCAGGTGCTCTGGAGGTTGCCATGAGGATGGCAAGCCTTCCATAAGCTCTCTTCTGGAGTAGTAACTTAGCTCTGCAGACTTGCTGTGGAAAAACTTGTCAGCTGAAAAAGAGTAAAAAAAATTTTGAAAATGAGCTGTGATTTAGTTTACAGGATTACTAAAAAATAAAAAATATATATACATATGTATGTATACATACAAAAAGTATATGTACATATATGTTTGCTGGTTTGCAATGCTTTTGTGGCTCTTATAAATTAAATAGTGGGTTTTTGTTTTTAAGACAAAAAAAATTCAAGCCCTCGTCCATAATGACCCCTTGTGGGGTGTGGCTGTGTGGTAGCTGCTTTCTTTAAAACACAGTGTCTGCTAACCTTATAACCAGCTGCACTATGGATCAGTGTTACTACATACAGATTACACTATCAATCCAGCTGCTCCAGAGGAGCAGTCTTTAGCTAAATCGGGTATATAATATGCCTTTTTTCCTCTTAAAACTGCCTAAATAAGGGGTTTGTTCTCTCCCTGAAGCACTTGTATAACTCCTATTAAAGCTTGTGCCTCACGGGGAGACTGGACTCTTAAGTGTTTACCCAATTAAATACATTCTGGGGTTTCAGGTAAATGTTTGTGATGTTTTTTCTTACATGAATGAATTTTTGTTTTGTTTTGTTTTGTTTTTTAAAGAAATTAAATGCAAAAAAATTGTGTTTTGATACAACTAAGTATGTGACAAGAAATGGCCAAATCAAGGACACAAGAGGTCAGGCTCAGGGAACCCCCTTCTCTTTTCAGGCTTGGAGCCCTTGGGTGGGTTTCCATAGCATTTTTTGGTGAACTAAGGCAGGTTAGGAGAAGGGAAGTTTGGGCGGCACCTTGTATGTCCTGGCTCTTGTCATTGTGTCACAGTCTTAACCTTATTTAAATGGAGTTCTTTGTATTTGTAAATCTATTAAACTGGTTTGAGTTTACCAAAGAGTGACTTATCCAAAATTGTCTCTGACAAAAAATATATATACATTGCTTTGATTGTACAGTTCAGGTTCAAAACATTGTAATGGGACTGTTAAGGGGCAGGAAATTGATTCATTTTCTCGATAATAATCATGATTCAACATATTTGCAAGTTCCACTTGCCTCCCATTCATGTTGCTAACACTTTACCCTTTCCACTGCTAGCAGTGTTAAGAATGAATTCTCAAGCCATAACACAGTACTGTAACCACTCAGCAATGCTTTGGAGAACACAGACATCTAGGCCAGCGTAGGGCTCCCTCATCCCTTGGAGCATTCCTGAGGTCACCTTCCCCAGTGTGAAGTCTGGTAGAAGACGAACTTCCGATCTGGCAGCAGCAGTTAAATTGTGCCTTGTCACATGAGGATGTGCCAGAGAGGTTGTCATGACCACAACCTAGACACATTGTCTACCTGAAGTTCATGTCATCTCCTCAAAGAAGAAATACGCTGAGTGGTAACTGCTTAAAGCAACTTTTTTTTAAAAGTACAGTACCTATTTCTGTACAGTTTGGGGTTAACACAGTACTGTTTTGCATTTCATTTATAACAGATGCAGAAGTCAATAAAATACTACAAGTGATATGTGAAATCTTTTAACAGTCAAATATATCCTGAATTCATATAGGCTTGTTCATAATTGAGTCTCTTCTTGAGCTAGCTTTTTCAATAAATAGACAATGTGAAGACAGTGACAGCATCCTTTTCTATAGCTATTTAACCTGTTATTACAAACTGTGAAAACAAAGAATTTTATACTTTTGCTAATGTTTGTGGTTTTAAACAGTTACTTTGGTTCTCCTAATCTGTTCTCTACCGTATCATTTCTATAAAACCTGTAAATACATTTAGAAATTATATTTGTAAATACAACATATTATATGTTTCATTTATTTTTAGTGAGTGGAAAGACTCATGATTGGATTCTGCCTTTAATTTTTGTTGTATTAGCAGAAAGGATACTGTCAGTTCACTGTTAAGCAAAATATACTGTAGAAGTAAATTGATTTCTAGGATTCTTCCCAGGCATGAGTAGGAAACTCATGTTTTCCAAAAACATAACCAAGTCTTCACTTTGCTCTTTAGCCCGAATGGTAAGGCCTGTGTTATAATTTAAAAAAAAAAAGCCCAAAGCATGGGAAGAACTTGCAGAAATACAAAATAAGGGCTGGGTAGGGGAGGGTGAGAATTTATGTGAATGAGCTTTACTTTGAAGAAATCAGTGTATTTTATTTGAATAGCTTTTTATATTAGTTACTGTGATTCTTTTATTACGGTATTCTGAAAGGGTTTCCTGTGAAGCCTCCTGAAAGGGACTCAAATATGCAACACCGAATCTATTTTCCAAGGGAGTGTTCCCCTTGGATGGTGCTTCTAGACTGGTCAGGGTTATTTATTAAATTTTATATATGAAAAGTATTTGGGAATTGTGTAAATTCTTTATATAAATCTAGTTCATAAATCATAGATTTCATAATTGCTCAGTGCAACTGAACTAGAGGTTCAGGAAAGTCATTCACTTTGTTCCAAGTTTATAATGGCTATTGTGCATTTCTTACATATCTTGTTCAAAAAGTGCCAGTGTGATTTAGCTGCCTCTGCCCAACATGGGACTCCCCAGGCCAGGCAATGACCTGCTTTCTCAGGATTCTTGAATCTGTGTGAAGACTGCTCGGCCTAGCTGAAAGGGAGCCAGGGACGCCCCACACTGTCCCAGGATTTTGATCAAGTGGAGCAATGAGCCTTGCTTAGGACCCCCTAAGCATCTGCCTTTGTGGTGGCCACAATAAACCTCTTACTGTCCTTCCTCAACAAGTATGCTGTGAATTCCATCTTTGGACTTACGTCCAAGGTCTTGGTTGTTGCCCTGACTGTGTAGTAAGAGGTGAGTTAAATTGGTTTGTTATCAGAATAACCATTTATTAATGTGAAAAGCATCTCTGGCCACTTTTCTTGGTAGGGCTAACATTCTCCATTATAAATGGTGGAACAATCAGAATGATTTAACTCTCAGTGTCATTATCTTGCAATATAAACTGGTAACCTCACAAGTCCCCACTTCATCGCCACATGAAGTAATGAAGCTAGCTAAGCTGATGCTGTCAGGACAGTAACTTGCCATAAGGATTCTTTTATAAGCATGAATTTAAACTATTTATTCAAATGCTATTTTACTCTTGTACCCATTGGGTTTTAGATTTGTGACACGGATACTTCAGTGCTGCTTAATTTTGTTTGGATGAATTCTTGGTTCTTGCTTGTAAATGGCTTTTTTTATGGTATCAATAAAGTCAATGGAAATTGCTGTTTGTAAATAAAAATTGCTTATAGAGCAAAAGTAGCATGGGCTGACTTTTTATATTCTTCCTGATTGTCCCAAGTGTCATTTATTCTGACATCCATTCATTGAACAAACCTGTTTTAGGAGCTAACTGAAGAGGCAGGAGAAAATTAAAGTTTTGGTAAAAGGGGTTCCTTGTTCTCGTGGAACCTACATTCTGGCAGAAGGGTTGATGGGACAAACTGAACTAAGAATGGTTTTTACATTTTAAAATACAATAAAAGTTAAAAACTGTAAAGACCATTCAGGCAGCATTTGGGATTTGATGGCTGACACCTGTAGTGGAAAGGGAAGGGAATGAAACAAGCATTTATATAGACCCAGTGTTCCAAGCATTTACGAATACCTTATCTGATCCTCACGACAGCCCAATGATGTAGGTACTATTATTATCTGTTGTGGAAACTCAGGCAAACAGAGGCAAGGTGACAAGACCAGGGTCACATGGCTAGTAAATATCTGAGGCCAGATTTGAACTCTGGTCTTCCTGACTCCCAGCCCAGTGCTCGATCCACTATGCCACCAGTGTTAAAAAATGGAGCTAATACTAGCCTGGATTCTGGTTGTATCATTTCCATTCCACGATCCTGATGTTTCCTTGTCTGCAAAGTGGAAGTAATACTGCTGTTTGTATTACTTACCTCATAGTCTTATCCTGAAGGAAAGCGATTTTTGAGCATTAAAGTACTATAGAAACATGAGCTACTAGTAAGGCGTTACATGGAACCATGTAAAGAAGTATAGAACAAAATGCATCTACTGGCCCTGACACTGAAAAGGTTTTGATTTTCTGAAGGTTAAGCCATTGTCTAGGGCTTAGAGAAGAGAAGCATGACCTACTGTTTGTTCTGCCATGAAGTGGTAGAAAGCACTGGTTATGAAATCAGAAGAGTTTGAATCTTTGCTCTTTCAACTACCAGTTGTTTAACCAGCTGTTTCCCCCTTTCTGGGCCCCAGTTTGCTTGTATAAGAAGAATATTAAAGTATTTCTTCCGGTTCTAGGTCCAATGACCTTAGTGTTTTGCAAAGTTTACTGATTGCCAAGGGTCTTGGCTTTACTTTGGCACGTATACTGCAGTGTTGGAGCATGGGTCTCAACAGGACAACTATTTCATCGTCCTGTCACAGGGTCAAATCCTCCACAGACAGAATAATGATCTTTTTTCCCCCAGTGGAGACTCTACTTACTTCATCTTAAGGTTCTGTGCCCCTTATTTAAGTCATTCATGTCTAACCTGATGCTTTCACCTCCTGGAGGTACTTCACTTTTTGTGTTGAGTGAATGCACAGTCACTGATGATCCACTGATGAGACACATACGTATATGCATACATTCACATATTATTTGAGAGAAATTTGTGAATGAATCAATACTTATAAGGATCCAGTATTTCCTAGACTAATTACTATCAACGAAACTAGAAGCCCTATTACACCTTAGTCTTTGTGAGTTGGTATGACCATAATAATAATAATAATAATAATAATAATAATAATAATTGATGACCAAACTAGTAAAAAGCCTCTTCCAGCAGCTCAGCTAGTCCTCAGAGGACAATCCGTTTGCTAGATCTGTAAGCAAATGCTTACCAACTTGGTTGGACTGGCCAACTAGTACCTGTCCTGGGGCCAAGGACAAGAAGATTTCACATAGAAGCGAACGTAGCAGCCTCAAAGAAGCACAGTCCAATGTATTCTGGTAAAGCATTCAAAAGCTCCTCTGTCACTTCCACACTACTGGGAGGCATTGGTGGAGGCCTCTAGGACAGTAAATGGGATCCATGCTGCAGACAAATAGTTTGTGTGGAGCTTTAGAATCATGGGACTTTTCTGCAGGTCAAACTTCATAATTAATTCCTGGGCTAAGTATTGACATTAATTTACATTCCTTGAAATTTGTGACTGAGTGGGGTGGAGAAACCAGATTAAATACTTCATACAAACCACACATGGATACATTGAGTGCCAGTCTATAAATGAATATAGCTTTATGATTGACTGTTAAGCTATCCAATATTTTAAGGGCATGTAGCACACCAAGTTTTGAGGATTCCTCTCCTGTTGAGTGCAGTTCTCTAGTTAAGGTTACAGAGAACCTCTGAAAGGAGCATTGTAGGGGAATAGGGCAGAAGACAATCAAGATGCCTGGAACTGAGTCTTGGCTCTGCCAGTAAATGGCTGAATGACCTTGGTCAGATCATTTCCCCTCTAGGGTCTTAATCTCTCCATCTGTAAAATGACATATCAAAATAGAAGGCCCCTGAGACCCTTGTTCAGTTCTGATGACCCATGTTCTAAGATGTCTTCCTAAAGTGGTAGAGTGGGAAGACCTGGGTTCAACTTCTGCCTCTGACACTCACTACCTATAAGTGACTTCAGGCAAGTCACCTAACTTCCATGGGCCTCGGTTTCTTCATCTGTAAAATGGGAGGATAGACTAGATAGTTCTAGCTCTATAATTCTATGATATAACCCTGACAATCTATGTTCTAAGGTATCCATCATAAAATATTCCAAGATCTTGGGTCTAAAGAATGGACTGTTTATGGCCAGGTACATTCTTCTCTTGGTCTTAGGGTCACCTATAATGGTGATTCTTCTGAGATTGTGCTGTTCAAGTATTTGTAGACATACAGCATAGCTAGCTAGCGTTTATACAGTGCTTTAAGGTTTGCAAAATGCCTAACATGTTATAAGAGTAGGTGCTATGGTTTTTTCCCCTCATTTTACAAATGAAGAAACTGAAGCTAAGAGAAGTTAAGTGACTTGTCCAGGGTCACACAGCAAATGTTTGAGGCTGGATTTGAACTCAGGTTTTCCTGACTCCTGGCCCAACGCTTTATCCTAGCTGCCCCATCAAGGGAATGCTCACTCAGATGCTCAACGGGATCTGTTATTACATCAGAGTATCAGATCAGATCAAGATCTTCAAAAAATGCAGATTAGAACCCATCCATCACTGTTCATCTTCTGTGCTTCTTGTACATGTCCTCCCATAAGTTTGACATGGTGGTCTACCCAGTATGCTAGAGGCCTTCCTCCAATTTGTCATTCCAAGAGAATAGCACTGGTATTCAAGGAAGGTCTTCTGTAGCAGCAAGCTGCTTAGAATCATTGAAAATGCTTCATGATTTCCTAAATGTTTCCCAGCCTAATGTTCTCTTCCTACTCAGTTCTGGACCCATGTCATTAATCATTGGTAGAATTTATCTGAGACATGCACTAATAAACTGATTTGACATCCTGTGTTGTATAATGGAAAGAACATTGATTTGATATCACCTGGCATGAGTTCAAATTTTGGCTTCGCTGCCTATGTAACCTTGAACAATGTAATAGCTAGTATCTCTATGATGCTTTAACATTTGCCAAGCCCTTTACATATATTATCTTGTTTGATCTTCATAATAACTTTGTGAGGAGCTATTATTATTCCCATTTTACAGATGTAGAAACTGAGGCTGAGGGAGATTAAGTGACTTGTCCAGAGTCACAACTAACTCAGAAACACTCCGTGTTTTTGAGTTAGGATTTGAGCTCAGAGGTTTTTGACGACAAGTGCAACATTATACACTGAGCCACTTAGCTGCCTCAAGCAAGTTTCTTAGCCATTCCTCCCCTTATTTGCAAAGTGAGAGGTGTGGACTAGATTAGGGATTCTTCACCCTGAATCTACAGACCAACGATTCCCCCCCACACACACTTAATAGTATTTTATTTTTTCCAATTACATGCAAAGATAGTTTTCAACATTCACTTTTACAAGATTTTGAGTTCCAAATTTTTCCCCTTTGCCCCTTCCCAAGACAGCATGCAATCTGATATAAGCCATACATGTATGATCATATTAAACATCTCCACATTAGTCATGTTGTGAAAAAAGAATCAGAACAAAAGGAAAAACCATGAGGGAGAAAAAACAAAAAACAACCAAAAAGGGAGAATAGTATGCTTTGATCTGTCTTCATACTCCATAGTTCTTTCTCTGGATGTGGACAGCATTTTCCATTGTGAGTCCCTTGGAATTGTCTTAGATCATTGCATTGCTAAGAAAAGCTAACAGACCATAGATTTCAAGGGGGTCCATGAAACTGGACAAGAAAAAAAATCAGATCTTTATTTTCACTCGTCCCTAACTGAAATTTAGACTTTCCTTCAATTTTGAATGCAGGCAACAAGCCTGAGAAGAATATGTAGGCTTTGGTAGACTGGCAAAGGGGTTCAAGACTCCAAATTAGTGAAGAAACCCTAGCTAGCCTGGATGATCTTTACGGTCACTTCCTACTCTAAATCCTATCATCTTGACTTTCACATGTTATAATCTGGGTAATATTATGTCCTTTACAAACTTCAGTGTTTTTTTTTTCCTCTCTAAGGTTTGGTAGGTATATCTGTACAATCAATCAGTGAACATTTATTAAGTACCTACTGTGTTCTGGGCACCACTCTAAGCACTGGCAATATAAAGCAAGACAAAAGCCAGTCCCTGCCCTCAAGGAACTCACAGTCTAACAGGGGAGACAACAAGCAAATTGCTATGTACAAACAAGTTCCATATGGGATAAATTGGAGATAATTAAGAGAGTGACTGCTAATTTCATTGAGAAGACTGAATGGATGTTCCAGGGATGGAGGTAATCAGCCCAATTTCATCCTTGGATAGCAACATCTGAAGAACCTTGCTATCAATAGGGAACCTCTCTCCTTTGGGAGTTTTCTTGTAGGACACCTTCCATGGAACAAGGCAAACACTTTGGGCAAGTATCTATCCTTTATTTTATGCCTTGCTTAGTGGTGATATTCAGTGGACCTTGAGCAAAATTACTTCTGCAAAATTAGATCCTGAAAATTGCCTTTTGTCTTCTGAGAGTCCCAGGTGAGGCAGGCTCAGAAATAATGGCAAGATGAAGATGTTATCCATTGATCTCTGGGAAACTGATTATGACTGATCTTTTGACCAGTCC